TCCCATTAAAAGATCCATTTAATTAATAAGGCTATGTCAGACAGAACCCTAGTGGGAGACATACAAATTCACCATCTTTCCTGCCTGTTCCTTACCCCCTTCTGATATCCACTTATACCAAGGAAATTAGGTTTGTATTCTACGTGACTGAAATCTGTATAGTTAATTAAGTCTTTCATATCATGGAAATTGCAAGGGAGCAACATGTCTTAGTGAAGTCACAGGCTCCTGGTTGTCTTCCTTTACAAAGAGTGTTGTAGGGCTACCTGCTGTTCTTTGTTTGTCTGTCAGGAAGCTGATTTTAGTTTCTGAAACTCATAGTGCACCTGGGTGCATAAAGTGGCTTGGTTACAGGCCCAAGAGAGAAGCTCTGTGATGGGCACATGAACATGTACTAAACCAGCTACTCCAAGTGACTAATCCGAAATATCTTGCCTATTTTCCCCCATTTTTGGCAGTGTTAGATAGCCTTATATATTTGTGGTAACACTGTCATGAGCTTGCTAGTATCAGTCTTTTCTCCCTCAATGTCTTTGTTAGTTAGCCCTGGGAATGATCTGGGAACACAGAAAGTTCTGGTCCATGTTTTGCCTACTAGTGTTACAGCACTACTTTTTATTTATCTTTCAACTTTCTACCCCGCTCGAACCCCCAGGGGGTCTCTGAGCGGCTTACAGTTAATCGATTATCCCTACCTATGGCCACATATACTGGGGATGGGGACTGCCCTACCAGCACCCTGTGGAGGGTCTTTGTTGATCTTCTTCCTCCCGGTCGGCTTGTCGGCTCGGCTTTCAGGCTTCCGGCTCTCACTTCCTCCTTCTCCTCACGGTCTTTCGGTGGTGGATCAGCAGGCCCCTCTGGTGCGCGGTATGCTCCAGCGCGGCTCCGGCTCCGTCCGCTTAGGCTCTGCCGCGCCTGCGCCTTCCACGAACCGTGCGTCTCCTGGCTTCGCCTTTCCGCCACGTCCGGTCCACCGTAGATGTTGCACTCAGTCGCCATCTTTTGCTGTGAGAAAGGGGTGCCTAGGCTCCCTTACCATCTTGCATGCCCAGGGCTAGGTCCCAGATCCCCTATCAATTTGATGGCATTTGGTGGCACTGAAAAATCTCTGGTTTGAGAGCCCATTAAGACTGGACTCCTTAATTCCTTTTGTAATGCCTTGAAGCCCTGAACCACAAACTCTGTTCCCAAACAGAGTTTATTCACCCTTTTACATTCAGGGTCTGAGTCATTGGTTGCTGCATTTTGGATTAAGAAGAGCTTTCTTCCTTCCCCATCCCCTGCCTACTCTGATTTGTGTTGATCCTGGAGGGCTTGGCTTTCTGCTGGAAAGTGTGACTCAGTTTTACTTTTGAAGCCACCTATGCATATTATTTACCACAAGGCACCTTTAGAATAATGCATTTCTGTTCTGGCTGTCTGTTTATGTCACATTAAAATCTGAATGATGTAAACTAATCTAGTAGAGCTATGTGCTGGTAGGAATCTTGTTCCAGAGCATGGCACTTGGTTAGATAGTCCACAGCTCTGAACTGTAATGTCCCTGTATTTACAGAAAGGAAATCCAGGAATGTCACTCTGTATAGTGACCAATATTTTATAACACAATTCCTGTGGCTAATATGATGCAGGTCTGGTCCTCATTAATGTCCGACGGTAGATCCCTGGGATATAAATGTCATGAGGTTTGAACTCTTTGTGGGAAGAGGTGGGTACACATGTAATAAAATAAGTACTTTTTAGAACCATATTGCTAAATGAGTATGTTGAGGTACTTACCTGGGAAGTTTGGGAATTAAAAAATAGTCACATGAGATTTTCCCCCATCTAATACTTTTGTAAAACAACAGCAAAAACAAACCCAGATCCTCACAGATTTCTAAACCATTTTTGGTTAGTTCGGTAACATTAAAAGCCCAGTTTAAATGAGTTGAGGATCTGGCCCAGAATTGCTCCCTTTATCTTCCTTTGAAATATTGATACACAGAGGTCATTTCGGGGGGGAACGCGGGGGAACACAGTTCCCCCGGGTGAGGTGCAGGGGGGCGGGGCACACGATGAAACCCCACCCCTGCTTTTGGCTGCCCCGCTTCCAGCCCTCATTCAGCCAGGAGGAGGCAGGAGAAGAGGGAGGGTAAGTTGCTTCCTCCCCGCCTCTCCCCACCCCTGCCTGCCTGGGGCCAGGGAGGGCCTTGGCGGGGCTTCCTCGCATTTCCGCCAGCCTTGCAGGTCCACCGCCGGGCCTTATGATGTCAGGGGGTGTGGCATATGCTAATGAGTTATGCTAATGAGTCCCCCTAGCTCTTTTTTTACGAAATGACCCCTGTTGATACATATTCTACTTTGGATGAAATCTGTGTTGCAAATTAACTGAACTAGCCATTTAATATGTGGCTTTTCCTTGAGAGATACCAGTGGTCCTCGTAGTTCACTACAGTCAGTAGAGCAGGCTTATAATAGTAATTCTTTTTTCACATCCTTTTCATCTGCAAGGTATTTCAGAGGCAAAAAAAGCCTTATACTTTTGCAGACAGCCAAAGTGGTAGGTTTCCTTTTCAGATACATCAACTTCTATATGTTTTGACTCTCAGCCTTCATTTTTCCATCATTTCTCTCTCTTTCTCTCTCTCTGTCAGGTTTTGATCGCTATTTCTCCAGTAGGACACTGGATAATAACCGTCGGAATATTTGGTTTGCTGAATTCTGGGAGGATAACTTCCATTGCAAGTTGAGTCGCCATGCTTTGAAAAAAGGAAGTGCCATCAAGAAGTGTACAAGTAAGAGGTTGTAAGGTGGTGGGGAAGACATGGGGAAGGTGAAGGAATCCCTCAGGATATTGCATCAATCAGTGGGAACCTTTCTATTTCTAAGCCTACAACAAAAAGAAGCTTTACTGCTTAATGGGCCACATACATGAACTTCTTCCATACTGGAGCTTGCAGGCAGTTCTCATGATGAAGGAGATACTGGTTGCTATGACAGATCAAATGCAAGCACTGAATGTTCTGGAGGGTTCACTGGACCTGGTTGCTGAATGGAGAGAATGTTAATATTTATTTATTATATTTCTATGCCACCTCTTGAGAGGCCTGCTCAAGGTGGCTTACAATTAAAACCACATCACAATATTAACCTATTAAAAACAGTTAAAATAAGGACATAGATAGCATAAAAACTATGCATAAATCAGAAGCCTGCCATTAAAAATGTGGTAAGAGACAACCCTTAATTAAAAGCTTGAGTACAAAGATGTGCTTTGGTCTGGCACTTAAAAGTAGGTGCCAGGCAAGAAAAGTAGGTGCCAGGCAAGCCTCAAAGAGGAGGGCATTCCAAAGGTGAGGTGCCACTGCAGAAAAGGCCCTGCCTCTTATCACCACCCACCTCACCTCTGAAGGTGGGTTCACAGAGAATAGGGCTTGAGAGGCAGATATGGGCAGGATAGTAAGGGAGAGGACAGTCCTTCAGGTGCACTAGACCCAAGCTATTTCACTTAGGACCTTAAACCAGCATTTTGAATTGGAAAAAGATGGATAACCAGTGGTACAATACCTGTAACAAACCCTTGCTAATAGCCTGACCACCTCATTTTGTAAGTTTCCAGACTGTTTTTAAAGGCAGCCTCATGCAGAGCTCATTACAGTAAGTAAACTTGGATGTGATCAGAGCATGGATCACTGTGGGTGGGTTACACTATCTGAAGAACAGTCAGAGCTGGTGAACTAGTGGGAGCTGATAAAAAGCCCTACATTCCATAAGAACATAAAGAGCCCTGCTGGATCAGACCAGTGGTCCATCTAGTCCAACATCTTGTTTCACACAGTGGACGACTAGGTCTTCTGGAGGTCCAACAACAGAGCACAGAGAATGAGATCTTCCCCTGCTGTTGTCTCTTGGCACTGCTATTCAGAGGTTTGCTACCTTTGAATGTGGAGGTTCCCTTTAGTCATCATGGCTAGTAGCCGCTGATAGACCTATCCTCCATGAATCATATAAACCACTTTTAAAGTGGACTATGCCAGTGGTCATCACTACAGCCTCTGGCAGTGAATCCCACATTTTAACTATTTCTTTTTGTCCATCTTGAATCTACTGCCCATCAGCTTCATTGGATGCACTCAATTTCTACTATTTTGGGAGAGGGAGAAAAGTTCTCTTTGTCCGTTCTTTCTATCTCATGCATAATTTCATAAACTTTTATAACATTCCCCATTAGTTGTCTGGTTTTTAAAAAAAGTCCCAGTCTCTTCAGTTTTTCTTCACAGGAAAGATGCACCAGCCCCTTAATCATTTTAGGTCCCAGACTCTTCAGTTTTTCCTCACAGGAAAGATGCACCAGCACCTTAATCATTTTAACTGCCCTATTCTGTGTTTTTTCCAGCTCTGAAATGTCCTTTTTGAGGTAGGATGACCAGAACTGCACACAGTATTCCAAATGATGCCACAGCATAGATCTAAACAGGGGCATTGTAATACTTGCTGTTTTATTTTCAGTCTCTTTCTTAAAAATCCCCACACAGAGTTTGCCTTTTTCACCACTCTATGGGCTGACACTTTCATTGAGCTATGTGCTACGACCACAAGATCTTTTTCCTTCTCAGTAAGTTTAGACCCCATTAGTCTGTACCTGAAGTTGATATTTTTTGTTCCAGTGTGCATCACCTTACACTTATCTACATTGAACTTCATTTACCACACTGTTGCCCACTAACCCAGTTTGTGGAGATTCTCCTGGAGCTCTTCACAGTTGAATTGGTTTTCACCATCCAGAATACTTTGGTGTCAGCTGCAAACTTTGCCACTACACTGCTCACCTCCAATTCCAGATAATTTATGAGCACATCAAAAGCACTGTAGATCCAGTAGTATTACCAAGCTATAAAACTACTCCTTTTGGGAGAGTGCAACCTCCTCCAGGACAGGGTGACTCCATAGTCCCTGAGCAGCTTTTCCACTGACTAACATCACCTGGTGTCATGGATACAGTTGCCAGGTCCCCTTGTTGCTCTGGCAGCAGGATTTGGGGGGCATTCCAGGGGTAGGCAGGGACATCATGTAATGTCCCCAATGTGATGACATCATCTGAAAGCATCATCACATCAATGATATCATGCGGGGGGAGGCTCTGGTATTTGGGCAAAACTCTATGGTTTTTCCACACTCAAACCATAGAGCTTGCCCAAGTACCAGAGTGTCTCCTGTGCAATGTCACTGATGTGATGACATCACTTCTGGGTAATGTCATTGCATCGGGGATGTCATGTAGCGACATCCCTGTTTAGGGGCAGAGTTTTCCTCACCAGCCAGCTGGTCCATGGTGGGGAGAAGCCCCTGAAATCGGAGGATCCTCTGCCTGGACCTGGGGGCTGGCAAGCCTAGTCATGGACCACCCTGCTGTAGTATGGAAGGATGAGTCCTCATTGGAGGAAGAGGAGGACAAGCCATCCCCAAGCCCCACCTTGGCAGTCCCTTCCTGTGAGGCTGTGGTGTGAGGGCCTCATCAAAGGGACCCTGAACCAGCATTGATACTGTCCCCTGAGCCAGCAGAACCCTCAAGCCTGAAGGCCCCAGCATGAACTCACCTCCAATCAGACCTGCCTGTCTCTTAAAGCACCCCAGTAGCAGACAAGGCAAAGGGCTATGGCTGAGGCATGGATTAGGCACCAGTGTGTGCACCTAACAGCCCTCTGTTAAGGAAGTACTAGAAGAGACCAATAAGTCAGTACATGATTAGAGGAGCTGACTCAGTTTGTAGGGAAGAGCATAATGTGGGAACCAGCAGCACCTGATGGGAAACTCCCTCTATAAAGCTGCAGAGAGGCTGAAGTCAGTGTTGGATTAATGTCTTTGCAGTTTTATTGGTGGTCTTGTCAGTTGTTAGGTCTGTTTTATTCTTGTTACCTCACTCTTGGACTGCTTTTGATTCTGCCTTTTGGATTATGTAACATGAGAGTTTGGACTGTCTTCTGGCTTTCACTTTGGTTATGTTATTGGACCCTGAACTGTGACCTGAGAGTCTCTGCTGTTAGACCCTGTAGTTAATGGGGCTTTCCTCCTGCCTTGTAGCTAGGATTCCTCAGTCTTGTCTGGACTGAGCTTTATTGAGTTTATTGGCCCTCACCCATTCTTTGCTTTCTCTAGGCACCTATTCAGGACTTCTGCAGACCCACCTGGCTTAGTTGTTAAGGAGAAATAGAGCTGGGTGTCATCTGCATATTAGTGGATTGAGAAAGAAAACCTTAGCAGTAAAGTACTGTGGCCCCTGCCACACCGGGGGGGGGGATGCGCGGCCTAAGTGTGGCTTTTGGAAGCCGCACCAAAATAGACACGCGGCAGCGGGATCCCACGGATCCCCTGAGCTGCGGCGCCGTTGCTCCCCGGCACGATCAGATGCCGGGGAGGAAGCCACGGTTGGGAGACCGAGGCAGCCGGCTGCGCATGCATATGCATGCGCAGTTTGGCCAGGAGCCAGGGATGGGCTGGCAGAAGGATGCGCCGGCGATCCTATGGCTGCGCTTACCGCGGCCTTTCAGGTAAGACCACCTCTGTCGGTGGTTCTTTTTTGCAGCGGGTTTTTGGGGGTAGGGACGGATCGGGGACAGGTGCGTGCTGCTTCCCAGATGTTGTGGTGAGATCGCGCCCATTTGCTGCACCCCCAATCCATCCCTATCCCGGGCCAGACCCCTCCGTGTGACCGGGACCTGAGATAAGGTAATGATGATTAGACCCAAGTAGATTAGACCCATAAAGAAATATGGGAAAACAGGAGATCTTTTGGAGCTTAATGAAATACCAGATCTATATTAAAGGGAACAGAGGGCAGGGCTTGAAGAATAGGACTTTCATAGAACAAGATTAAAATAGGTCTGAGAATCTTGTGTAATACATCAGTAGGGCTGTCAAAGCAGGAGTGTCATTTTGGATCATGATTTGTGGTGCATAAAGGCAGAAGGCAGAACTTGGAACAAGAGTGGATGCTGGAAAAGCCCAGAGGGAATATTTCAGAAAAACAGTGAATGAAGCACTAACCACTTTATTTTTCTTTGTGATCATTAAATAGCACCAAACCCACATTTGACTAAACTGACCCACTGGATATGTTCCCCAGTCCCCTCTCTACAGTTTGCTGTTTCCCCTGCTAACCATGCATCTCCCTCCAGTGTATTAGTTTCCCTTTGGATTGTTTACTATCATTCCTCTCTCCACGCCACACTAATTCTTCCCTCATTTGCTCATAAATTTCCATTACCCCATTGCAGCATCAGCCAGATCTATCTCAGCAGCTCTTTTCTCTGTATTTTTGGTGCGCATCTTTGTTCCCCGAGAAAACACATTTAAAAGGATTCATTTAAAAAATGTATTCCAACAAGTTATAGAACTATACTGAGTAGGGATGCAGTACTGTGGAAATGTACCCCTAGCCCCCACTAGATGATTATATAAAATATTCAAGGCATTCATATTACTTGAGGCTGCTTTAAAAATGTTTCATTGGGTTTCCTCTTACAGTCTCTCAGATCAGCTGAGTTTCTTTCTTTATTGCTGTGTTGCTGCCTTTGATTCTTCCCTGAAACAGGAACTGACAGTGGGGAAGTGCTCCAGCTCCCTCTACTTGGTACCTACTTGGCATTTAGTGCTTTGCCCTCAGCTGGGAATGCTGGCACGTTCTGTGGGCTGAGACCACATAAAAGCAGTTATAGAAACAGAAGGCATGCAGCTCTGTCAAAGAATGGCTGTTGAGTGATAGGGATCACAGGGCATATATGCTACCACCAGCAAG